GCCGTGGGTCACAGCATGTCACTAGGAACAGGAAAATCCACTTGACTGTAATGATGCTAATGTGTGAGGGGAATGTAAGACCTTTCAAAAAGAAGCCCAGACAGACTTTCTCTTCTCCAGCTGTATTGGTCCATAAAGTGCAAACTCCTGTCTGAGGTAAGGGATGGGGCACAGCTGTGGTTTTCTTAAAGCATGTTATCATAGAATCATAGAATGGTTTGGGTTGGAAAGGCCCTTAAAGCTCATCCAGTCCCAACCCCCCTGCCATCAGCAGGGACACCTTCCACTAGACCAGGTTGCTCAAAGCCTCATCCAGCCTGGCCTTCAACACTTCCAGGGAGGGGGCATCCACAACTTCCTTGGGCAACCTGTTCCAGTGTCTGACCACCCTCACAGTGAAGAACTTCTTCCTAATATCTCATCTAAACCTCCCCTCTTTCAGCTTAAACCCATTTCCCCTTGTTTTGTCATTAACTGCCCTTATGAAAAGTCCCTCCCCAGCTTTCTTGTAGCCCCTTCAAGTACTGGGAGGCCGCTATAAGATCTCCACGGAGCCTCCTCTTCTCCAGGCTGAACAGCCCCAACTCTCTCAGCCTGTCCTCATAGGAGAGCTGCTCCAGCCCTCGGATCATCCTGGTGGCCTCCTCTGGACTTGTTCTAACTGGTCCATGTCTTTCTTGTGTTGGGGGCTCCAGAACTGGATGCACTATTCCAAGTGGGGCCTTACAAGAGCAGACCACTATCAGCATGACCACTTGAACTCAAAAGGCATCCTGTTGCTAAACTGTGAGAGGAAGTGCCCTGATTATTTTTAATTTTTTTTCCAACACCTGGTGTAAGAAACAAAAAAAAAAAAAAAACCACAAAATTATTTTGAGGCAATGGACTGCAAGTTGCTCATCAGTGGAGTGTGCGATGGGAAACTGGTGAGGATGGCACAAAGCAGTGCTGCAGTCGAGGTCTTCACTGTGTTATGTCCCAGATCAAAGGAAAATATAGGGATGAATTTGCATCTGCTGGGTATAATGTTGCAAATAAAGATAGGTCATGAAACCACCTGGTGGCTTTGTCTCATGCGTTCAGGTTTTCTATTTGACGTCAGTAGGCATGCATGAGTTAGCCTGCCATTTTGGGCTGGAGAGATGCTGCCGTGCGTGACCGGTTCTACAGAGCTTGGCCACAGGTCTGAGTGTGAACGTAACCCCGTCCCAGGCAGAAAAGTTCCAAAGATAATCACAGAATCACAGAATATTAGGGATTGGAAGGGACCTCGAAAGATCCCCCAGTCCAATCCCCCTGCCGGAGCAGGAACCTAAATGAGATCACACAGGAAGGCGTCCAGGTGGGTCTTGAATGTCTCCAGAGAAGGAGACTCCACACCCTCCCTGGGCAGCCTGTCCCAGGGCTCTGGCACCCTCACTGTAAAGAAGTTTCTTCTCAAGTTTAAGCAGAACCTCCTGTGTTCCAGCTCACACCCATTGCCCCTTGTCCTACCATTGGGCATCACTGAGAAGAGCCTGGCTCCATCCTCATGACATTCACCCTTTACATATTTATAAACATTAATGAGGTCTCCCCTCAGTCTCCTCTTCTCCAAGCTAAAGAGCCCCAGCTCCCTCAGCCTTTCCTCAGGGAGATGCTCCACTCCCTTCATCATCTTGGTGGTTCTATGCTGGACTCTCTCCAGCAGTTCCCTGTCCTTCCTGAACTGTGGGGCCCAGAACTGGACACAACATTCCAGATGTGGCCTCACCAGGGCAGAGTAGAGGGGGAGGAGAACCTCTCTCGACCTACTAACCACACCCCTTCTAATGCACCTGGTAGTACAATCTTTTTTGCTCTTTTATGTCTCCTTGTTAAATCAGATTTCCCATATGCTCTGTGGCCCGATCTCCTGCACAGAAGGAAACAGCCAGTGATAAATACTGGGATTTGGTATTCCATACCTACCTCTGAAATATTGAAATAAGAAAGCTCTTTGCAATAATCCTTGAAATCACACTGCCACGTTGTACTCAGACAGCAATCTTCCCCCACAAAATAAAAAGATCCTAGAAAAAAAAAATAAAACAGAAAGATGATGTGGAGGAACTACAGTCAATTCACTCTTTAAAAAGTGGGTTTGTAGTTTGATATTCCCTTGCCAGGACCTGAATAGCGTATTCAGATCATAGCTGGCTAGAAATACTAGATATAATTGCTGGCTAGGAATGCTGAGAACGACTAATCAGCAAATTGTACTCTTCGGCTTGCCCAGGCACACGTTCTAAAAGGAAATTATTGCTGTAAAACGTTTTACACTTAATCCTTTATGCTTTCAGTTCTTGGAGGCTGCTTGACAAAATGAAAAAAAAAAAAGAGTAAATACCTGAGAAGCCAGCTCACAAGCAGCCTCAGAAACAGGGTGAAGTCTTTTGTTGTCATTATGCACCTGGAGATTACCCCCATCACCATCATCACCATCAATTAGTCAAGCTGGCTGTGAAATGGTGACTACTTGTGGTTTCTTCCCTTATTGTTTCCAACAGTCGCAGTAATTTGCTGCCATGGCTTTGTTATGGTGACCTTGTTCCTTTGGTTCTTTCCTAGCCACTCTTTTCCTTCAAACAGCCTTTGTCTCAGTGTTTAATATAATTGCATGGTACCTAAAATAATGCGGAAGGTGCAAAAGTGCACCGCTGCATCAGGCAGGACTTCTCCTGGTCAAATCAATCCTCTCGTGGTTTCACACAGCTGGCAGGAGCTTGTCAGGCTGGCAGCTGCCAACATCTGGGCAGCTCCCCTACCATTAGTGCAGCATGGCCACCTGAGAAGCTGCTGAGGAGGACATCAGCCTTGGTTGGGCCCTGAGGTTTATTATCAGGAGAGTACACTAATGAGCATTGCCTTTTCTGCATGGTGAATTGGTTCTGGTGGCATGGTCAGAGCCTGCTCCACTGCTAGGGAGCCTGGGATGGTCTTTGCAGATGAAACATCACAAGGGGTGATGGTTTTAAACTAAAAGAGGAGAGATTTAGACTAGGTATAAGGAAGACTTTTTACAATGAGGTGATGAAACCCTGGCCCAGGTTGCCCAGAGAGATGGTAGAAGCCCCATCCCTGGAATCATTCAAGATCAGGTTGGACAGGGCTCTGAGCAACCTAATCAGGTTGAAGATGTCCCTGCTCACTACAGGGGGGTTGGACTTCCAACCCAAAACTATTCTATGACTACAAAATTTGTAGTCGTAATGGTAAATATGAAAAGGCAAAAATTTCACTTGCAGCACCATTACCTTACTGAGATCCATACGTGTGCTGTCACAACACAAAGTACTTCCTGTTTGACCAACCTGATCTCCTTTTATGATATTCAAAAGACAATAATCTCTTGGGCTAAGAAGCCAGCTGCTCTGTTCTTCCTTCCTTCCTTCCTCAGCAACATGAGGCCACAAGAGGAGGTCAAAATATTATTCTTTTTTCATTATTCTTAATCCAATTCTTCAGTGGAAATGGACGTTCTTCTTATTGAATCCATTTATTTAATTGCTGCTGCTGGAAAGCTGTTTCATGGCCCATAAGAAGTTAAAAAAGCTTGGATGTTTTCCTTTTTATTGGGGTTTATGGTTCACTCAGGGGAAGGATGGTGCAGAAGTCTGCTAGAGATCCTGTCTTACTGCTGCACCCATCCTGTCCGACGGACTCTGATACACGGGGTGACAGAATGAGCATCCCACCTCCTCACCTGTGTGGGGCAGCTCAGCATCACACACCTTGCTACAGGGGACTTTTTCCTTGGTTCAGAATATCTGTGCCCTGTATGTCATGGGATCTTTCTCCTTAAAACTTGGTTGTTCCTGCCTCACCTACTGATTGCACCATGGTGGGTGGTGGAGCTTTACTGCAGATAAATGTAGAGAAACCCCCAAGCCCCTTCACTTCTATGCCACCTTGATAGCTGTGGAAAACCTCCTGATATGAGCCTTTAAACTCTACTTCTGGTGGCAAGGAGTCGAGTTGGATCTCCTCAACCTCCCTCTGTCTCCTCCCTGGTTATCAGCCTCTGTTAGTTGCTTGCATCTTGGACAGCCAGGCAGGGTGGAGCCATGTTGTGGTGATGGCTGTAATCGCCTCGAATGGCCCCAATTTCACCCCCAAGCACATAGTGTTGGGTTGTTGTTTTTTCTTTTTCCCCTTGAGTAATTTCCAAGCACATCCCCTTCAGACGGAGCTGAAAAGCTCTGGCTCTGCTCCCAGAGCGACGTCCCTCCTGTGTGGCCACCCACTCCATCTATCTCACTGATCAATTTTCCCTCCTGAAAGCCAAGCGTTGCCTGCACATCCACTCAGATCGATGCTGGTGAGGAAGAGAGGGAAAACAAAAGGAAGGAAGAAGGTTTTGACTCCAGGTGCTGAAGGCAATTGTCATATTTTTTTCCCTTTGAAACCCAAGCTGGGATCTGTCAAGCTGCAAGTTCTCACACGTTTGGTAAATATTTAGGGTCTGATTCACCACTGAATCACTCTGTTATTTTTTGGCTCTATTTGGAGGAACTCCTCTGTCACTGAGATAAATCCAGCCATCTGAGGTCCTCTCATCTTTTTATTTTAGCATCTCACAGTCACATGTGCCTGTCCTCACAGTCACCCATCAGGACGGGGAGACGGTGTCATCCCTGCCTGGCAGAGGAACTTGGTGGCACACTGGTCACGGGCACCAGAATTCTTCTCTGACCCTAAATCCAAACCTGGCTAAAAGCCACAGCCATCAGCTGGTGAGACCCTGGCATGATGCTGAAGGGTCCACATGTAGCAGAAGGTGGTACTGTAGGTGCCCCTTGGTGCATGGAGGGTAGTATGTAGACCAGCTCCTGCTGCTGCATGATGGTCATTTAATAGGTGCACTACTTGTCTTGTTATAGCTGAGAGACCTTCTGGGAGGATGCAAGAGGAACATATTTCCCTCCAGAGTTGAACCATGGTCAGTGTTTTCCATGTACAGATCTCTGCTTTCATCGCAGGTGGAAGACAGCATGATGGATGTGTACGATCTTGTGTACGAGGAGGTGAGGAGGAACACCTCCAGCTTCAGGAGGCACGAGCTGACTGCCATCCACGAAGCCGTGAGTTGTCTGACAGCCCTAGCAGCAAATCTTGCCCTGGGGTATCTTCCTGATGGTTTCAGCAGGCTGGGGCTGATGCCTCGTGGATGCTGCAACGCTGTTTTCCCCCAGGAACCCAATCCTCCAGCCTGCTGGGAAGTTGGCTTTTCCCTTCCTACTCTTCCTTTCCCAGGTTTGACCACTAAATTATCAACAGGAGGAAAGGGTCACCTACCTGAACATCTGTCCTGGTTTTTGGATAGTTAAACTACCACAGCATCGCTGTGGTGTGAGATCTTCAAAGCTTCTGCACCATAGCTGATGTGTATACATATATATATAGCCTGTCTTGGCAGGTCCTCTGCCATGCTCCCTATCTGTGGTACAAGAAAGTGGGTACACACCTCTCTGGTGTCCCTGGTCAGGTGGAGAGAGGTGGGAAATTCCAGCAGAAGTGTTTGGACTTGGTTATTTCTGTTTACCCTTAAGCCTGTGGCTGAGGAGTACTGGAGGCTGCATGGCCTCCCACAATGCTGGAGGCTGCAGACAAGCTCCCCAAAACCACCACCCGGGATGCTGTTGGCTCTGGGGGCTTCTTTGTAGCTCAGGAGGTGGGTAAGGGGGGTTGCCCAGAGCACAGGGAGGATGTTGCCATCAAAGCTACAGGAGATAAGTGAGGATGTCCCCCATGGTGAGAAACTCCTGAGTCCCCACTGAGTCAAGGAGATGTCTCCTCACGCAGCAAAGCCTGTTTGGGTAGGGAGTTCATGAAGGTCAACTCCACTCACCTGTTTCCAGATGCCTCCCATGCAACTCCCTTTATCCTTCTGTACTTTCTGAAGCTGGTTTCATCCGTGCTTCTCAAAATACAGAAAAGGGCAAATATTTCTCATTGCAACGATAGCTGTGGCCCTCAGAGCCATGACCAGGTGTGGTGGCACTTGCTCTGCAGGGCTGTGGAGCAGCACACCCAGAGTCCCCCTTGGCAAGGAGAACCAGGCACAATATCCAGCTTCATCAGCTGCTTATTTTAGCCACTTTAATTGGTGGAGAAACAGTCCTTCTACTTCTATTTTTTTTTTTTTTTCTTTTCCTTCTGCTAGAGCTCCAAGCTGGCCAGTTCAACCAGCTCCACAGTGGGTGTTGCTGGAGGAACTCCCCAGCCCATAATAAGCACTGGAAGCATGGATCTGTGCATCCCTGGGTTTTAGTGTCCCCTGGTTTTTTCAAACCAGCCACTGTGAGAGCTGGTGTGACCATGGAGGGAGAGCTTGGCCCCAGCCCCAGTCAGGAGTCCTGAAGGACCATGAGCAAGTTTGGGGCCAGATCCATCCACCTCCTCTGAATTAACCTCCACTGCTGCAGTTGTGGATTGCATCCTTACCTGCTTTGCTCCTTGCAGCCCTGGTTGAGTAGCCCTGCCTGGGGCAGTGGGAAGGAAGGGTGACCCATCACCTCCCACCACAGCAGCTGGTGGCCAGGGGAGAGCCCCGGTGGGTGGCTGGCAGACTTCTCCCTCTCTCTTCCAGTTCCTGTGCTGTGGGAAGCGCTCTCCATTTGGGGACACGACCGATGTCGAGCACAAGACGTGTCCATCTGGCCGCGTGCACGATGAGGGACAGGTAAGGGAAAGGTTTCTTCCACCCCATGGTGGGGTTCTACCACTACTTGCTAACTGTCAAAACCTCAGTGGTGTTTAAGTGTTAATGAGAATTGTGTTTTTTTCATGGTTTAGAGCTGCTGTGGGTTGGGGTTTGTTTTGTTGGGGTTTTGTTGTTTCAGTAAGAAGGCATCTTGCCTGGTGGAGGAGCCTTGGTGCATCAGCAGGTCTCAGAGCTGCAGATGCAGTTTCCTTCAGAGCTTTAGAAAGGCTTCAAAATGCTTGTGTTTGCAGCCTGTCGCTTCCTTCCAGCTTCCTCCCCATCTCCTGCCTCTGCAGAGAGTGTGAGATATCACCAGCATGTGTCTGAGCTGAAAAACACTGCTGGTCTGTTCCACGACACTAGTTTCTGAGGCTTAAAAACTGTCCCACTAACAGTAAATGTGGAATTTGCTGTAATTCCTTTTTCTCAGGGCATTAAATAGGTATTAAAATGAGAAACTCATGAAGCAGGATGATGACAGATTCAGCTCCTCTGGGGGCCCAACT